ATTTTTTTGTCTAGTTGATCTATTTGTGACAGTGGGGTATTGAGGTCCCCCATTACAACTGTATTAGTGCTTATCTGATTGTTAAGATATTCATTAGTGTTTGTTTTGTATAGTTGGGTGTGTTGGTGTTTGATGCATATATACTTATGAGTATTATCCCCTCCTGTTGGATCATTCCCTCTACAAGGATGTAATGACCTTCTTTGTCTCTGTTGCTCAGTCTGGCTTGAGATCTACTTTGTTGGATCTGGTTTCTTGATCCATTCTGCCAATCTATTTCTTTTGGTTGGTGAATTGAAAGTATTCACATTGATGATTATAACTGATACATATTGACTTTCCTGGTCGTACTATTTTCCTATTTTTGTTCCCTTTCTTTCCTTTCTATTTAATTGCTTGCCTTGTCCGGTGGATTCATCCTATTGGGATTCTTGGAAATGTTGTCTCCATCTTTTTCTAGAATATCATTCAGAACTTTTTGGAGTGCTAGTTTGGTGGTCATGAATTTCTTCAGATGTTCTTTGTCATGGAACTTTCTTATTTCCCCATCAATTTTGAAAGATAGTTTTGTGAGGTACATCAATCTGGGTTGGAGGTTGTTTTCTTTTAGGATTGAAATACTTTGTTCAAAAGAAAGAAAAAAAAGGAAAGAAAGAAAGAAGGAAAGAAGGAAAGAAAAGAAAGAAATGAAAAGAAAGAAAGAGGGCCGGGAATTTAGCTCAGTGGTGCCACCACCTGCCTTGCAAGCTCAAGGACCGGAGTTCGATCCCAGGTACCAAAAAAAAGAAAGACTTTGCTCCAAACTCTTCTTGACTTGAAGGTTTGTGTTGAGAAGTCTGTTGTGATTCTGATGAGCTTTCCTTTACAAGTGATTAGTTTCTTTTCTCTAATAGCTTTTAATATTCTGTTCTTGTGTTGTGTGGAATCTTAATAATTATATCCCTTGTTGTGGTTCTTTCTGACCATGGCTCTCTGGGGTTCTATATGACTCACTTATCTGTATCTGAAATTCTTTTTCTTGGAAAGTTTTTTGGCTATTACTTCTGTGGACAGATTGTTTTATGCTCTTTGTGCTTTCTTCTTCTTCTTTTTTTTTTTTTTTTTTTTTACTGGGGATCGAACTCAGGTCCTTGAGCTTGCAAGGCAAGCGGTGGAGCCACTGAGCTAAATCCCTGGCCCCAGTGCTATCTTCTGATCCTTCATTAATTCCAATTAATCTTTTTTTTTTTTGGTACCAGGGATCAAACTCTGGTCCTTGTGCTTGTGCAGCAGGCAGCAAAACCACTGAGCTAAATCCC